GGTGCAAAGTTCATACCAAAGGACGGGATGACTTTGGTCAGTTCATCCAAGAATACTTGCGCCTTCTCCTCCTCTTCAAACATGAGAACGATGTCGTCAAACGAACTTCGTTTGAACCTTCTGTCAGTGTGTGATTGAGTTCCAACCAATTTAGCCCGCGAGGTCATTGTGAACTTGAGTTCATTGTATTTATTCAGGTGCCTGTACAATGGTTCGTGGTATATACTGTGTGGGAATTACACTTAGCCCCAGGGTCGAATGCGTTTTAATGGATTGGCGCTGTACGGCTGATTAATTCAATCAAAACAAATGTACTTCGGCGCGGTAGACGACGTTCATTTGTTGTATCGTAATGAGCTCTGAAAGGCTCCAGCCCTGAGGCTTAGATGCCTTCTATAAGGATTTGCCACGGCTGCTCCGGACGGGATTCCGTGATTCCAGCGCGATATGAATGCCCAGGTCGGCCAACAAGCCGGAGACAAGCCCGTTTTAATAGGCTATTCATGGTTGATGTTCCTCACATAGATAGTTGGGAAGAACTTCTACAGTTGTATACTGAAAACCATCTGTCTCTGACGGACTGGAAATAGGTCAGTGGTTAACAATTCTGAAGCACCAGTGACAACACCGATGTTGCTGTTTTTGATGATGATGAACAATTCTGAGCGTGCACCTGGAGAGCACTTCGATCCTGGGAGTTTCAGAGAAAGTCAGAAGCCTGCTTGCTTCAGTGTGCACACAGTTAAGGCTTTCGGGGCTCGAAAACAGATTTCGAAGCGTTTAGGGATGTCACAGAACTGGAACTGCAGTTGAGTGATGCACGGTGAACAATGTGGTAAATCCTAATGCTGGGATTTGCGGAGAACAGTATACAAATGAGTGGGGTAGGGTAGAAGTGGGAGGCGTCAGCAGTAGTATGTTTTCGCTTACACGCCTTGCTATGTGCATGCCACGTCGGCAATAGCCAACGTGGCATGAAATTGTTTAGCTGTGTTTGTTGTACATGGGCTTGGATATTGTTAGGGAGCCCATACCTAGGTGGGATTATTATGGTTCTCTGCCAAAGCACTTGGATTAAAAGTCTGACCACAAGGCAGCGGTGTTTGGCGGGAAATGCAAGTGCATTGCCAATCTTATGGAACAAGTCGCCATACATGTTCCAACTCCCAACCTGGAGTGAAGGGAAACTGTGCTGGTCAGACCACTAACCATTGAACAACATGGTGTGAGACTGAGTGTCGCATAGACGCCACCCAGTATAGCTCAATGGGTTATGGAGGCACACAAACCGATACACCACGGTAAGGTCGTCCCTTTGTGACGGTTGACGTCAGGTTGATGCAATATTGCCACAGTAGCGGGGAAGAACGCTTGCTTCGTAGTCGCTGGTGAAACCCAAATACAACTGTACGCTTTAGTCATATATAAATCCATCAAGGTAAAACTGTGAAGGCCTTCAGGTCCTTATGTATCCAGACCTCAAGACTGAGGGCAGGTTCAAGGCCCCACTATAATGTTAAGATTACTACAGGTTTTTAGGAGAATCTTCCTGGACTGATTAAGCTGAACTACTAAAATACACCTCCTCACTTGACCCGTCTTGTCTATGAAAGCAACGGAGGTCTACAGTGATCCCTAGCATAACCATTGAAGAATTTCCACTTGAAGAGCCAAACTAGTTGTCTACAGAAGATATATTAGCCTCACGGAGAGGTAAACCTTTTCGAATATTTCACGAGGTCGAGGTCGCATAGAGGTGTTGTTCATGCTCAATACATTCGATCCGGACGGATTCCTGAATTTAAACCAACTGTGATGGAATAATCGACATACGTCCACACAGAGGTCTGTCCCCGTCGAGTGGCAACTACATACAGTGAATTCAAGTAGTCTTGACCGTTACCTATGGCGGAATAATGATGAGACCACACCGGCTGAGTAAGATGGATGGACTGCGACGTGGTCTTAATAAAGGTCGCTCCGAAGAGTAACCGTCCGACTGGCTCAACAATGGAGACGTAAAATCCATCAGACGAATAAAAGTACGAGATACTACACATGATCATTCTGCTCAAAACTAACTTACTTTCGGCTCCGGGGGTGGCATAAGTCCGAGACGCACTTTCTCTTGGCGTTCCTTTTGGGCCTCTTGTCGGTTTTGTCTCCGAACTTTCTTGCGCTCCTTCTTAGTGAGGAGGAGAGGGATTTCCGGAGGCTTCGAGAGCTCTCTCGGAGGCTTCAATTTTATGGGATGTTCGACAAGGTTTGTTATCCATGCTTTATTCAAAATAACTGAAGTAGGAAGACCTTCTTCTGCAGCATCATCAAGAGCGGAATATCTAACGAAATTAGCGGTTAAAAGGTTAGACCTACGCAGTAACACCATCTTTGAGTATATACGCATCCCACCATTCTAGTGTAGGAACTTCGGATTCATCCACAACTCGCTTTGGTTGAATAGTTGATAGTTTCGCAGCACTTGCTATACCCGTACGCTTCACAGCCTGGGCGACTGACTGCTGTAAAAGTTCCAGCTGCTGTTTCGTGCGCATGCGTTGAGCGAGTTTGATAAACTTTCCAGGTTCGTAAAAACTAAGCTGCCGTTTTGGTCGTCTAGCTGCTTTCATACTAGAAATTTTATTAGAAATTCGTACAGCTATACCTTAATCTAGGATCAAAGTAGGCAGTGGCAGTCAAATTTTTTTGTGGTTTCTTCTGAGTCGTTGTTTGCAAAACTTCCTTGAATTGTTGGGCTCGCTGAGCCCGTAGATTTGCTTTCAGCGTGGGTGTATAATGTGTGAGCTGAATCTCCTCGCCTGTGGTGGCATCTATGGTCTTCCCCTCCTCATCGAAGATAACACTAATCAGAATTAAGTGCTGGTCAAGTGGACTTACTTAGGAATATCCTTGGACTTCCTAAAACCATAGGTAAGGGCACTGCCAAGAAAGAAATTACTTTGTTTCTGTTTCCGCCGAGACGGCATATTTGCTTAAGATACCCGAGTTCATGCGCGCAGCAATCTGTGCTTGCAGTTGGGCCGCCCTCCGTAACTTGTCGAATGTCTCTGTGTCTGGGATGGTTCCTGATGGTACATTGAGTCCATTGGCAGATTTTCCTTCACCCTTTCATAAGTCAGACACTCGAATGTTTCAGGAACTTACAAGACCCAGTTGAACTTTCCTCTCCGCAATGGTACGTTGGGCACTGGCCATCATCTCCCTGATCTTCGCTGCCGTCAACTCTACGGCACCACTAAAAACATTAAACACAAATTATAAGGCTACCTGGTGATTCGAGTGGCGGCTGGGCCCGCGTTAAATCCGAGCTGCTCCATCTCTAGTGAAAAATCAAGTAGCCCGCGACACTAGGAGGGCTAGTTGGCTTAATCAGTTCAATGAATTCAACAGGCTCGGTTTGTTCAATAGGTGAGGGGATGGAGGCAAAATCTGATCGGATCTGCAAGCAGAATCGTGCTGAATCTGTTGGAAATGAAGGAGGTACGTGTTCGTCTGCATAGGTAATGGTGAGGAAAACGGCGTTAAATGGACCAAAGAGGGAGAAACAATACCTGTCGTAGAGGTGGACTCGCGCCATGGTAATACAGAGGCAGTTAGCTAGGTATGTGGACATGCGCCGGATGCGTAGTTGCTGAGAACAGTCTGATCTTGAAAGATGCGAACAAGCGTTAATTAGTGCACAGGTAACAGTAAAACTTGTGCTTCAGCAATTTCGTGAAATCGAGATCACTGTCGGTGCTCTCGTGGAATGGGCTCGGTGAGAAGGGGACGGGTTCTCTGCTTAGCCATGTATACAAGGTACATAGGCTCCTAACTTACGGAGTCCGTAAAATTTCAAGCATACGCTTGCTACTGAGAGTAAAAGTCAAAACGAAGCTATACTCGGGGAGAGTGTAAGAGCCAGAAAGCCATGTGAGGAGTACGTGTTACTTGGGGCAGAGAATGAGACTGGACGCTCTACCCAGGCAGTGACACGCCCAAGGTCCTGGTGGTATCCGTAGCTTTACAGCCCCTGGCGTCATATTATCGCCACTGGGACAGGGGTGCGCCAAACTTTTGCACTACGGTAGCGGAGGTCAGGAGAAAACAGTGGGGATCGACAAATTGGAAGACAAGCTGAAAAAGAATGACCGTTTGTGTTGACCTCATGAAGCGGTGGGAACAAAGTAAGGCATGGAAGAGCTTTGCGAAAATGCAGGCTTCCAGATCGTGTACAGAAGAAATATGGTCTGCCCGCATAAGTAGGGTTTGTTGCTCCGTGAAAGAAATTGTAGGAGTTCCATGCATACCGCTCCCCGTGTTGATCGGAACAGGTTCCGCTGAGCTCAAGAACTTGGAAGAGGCCAGTAAAAAAGGACAATCTGCATCAAACTTTCACTGCTTCAACCACGCTTATGAACGGGTGGGGCGATCTATCGAATCTGGTTACAGATTAGAGTTGTGTACCTAAATTAGCCAGATCGTGACAGCAGTAATGAAATGCGGTTTGATTTACATTTTCCAATCATTTCATATTTTTGAGTAGACTGAGTGATGCGCACTGCATTCAAAAGGTTCCAGTTAAGGTGCACGCACTTAGATATAAACGTGCTGGTAATAACAGCTACCGCCACCCTGTGGACATGCGCCATCAGGACACACTATACTGATTGCTCCGGTCATACCACTTATGGACAGCAGCCGACTGACTGTAGGCCAATTTGCGGCTTCCGATAGATGCCATGTAGCAACAACAACAATACACAGGTATGTGGTGGTAGTAAACCTCTAGATAAAAGCCAATGGTCAGTCACCGGTCCATCACCGGTTTATTGGCTCACGGATTCGCGAACAGATAGCTTTTATCAAGTTTCCCAGGTCGGTTGTGTTCTTTCTGTTCGCGGACTTCCGTTCACCTGAAAGTCACAAGCGAAAAAAGGCTGTAGCACTGTTCTTTAGGTCCTTGGTGCAGGGTGGTAGGCCTATGGGCTCTAGGACTCACAAAAATCGTCTGGAGTTACTTTTAACTGGGTTCTTGATGCAGCGTGAACGACCGTCGGAGGACTACTCAATGCGCCAACAACCCGGAATGAGAAAAACTGTGGCCTTATAAGTGTGCGGCCTGAGCTTGAAAATCGCCTTACCGTGTTGGTGAGTTTATCGGTGGTTGATCAGGTGCGCATCATCATCTGCGCACTGATGATGTCTCCTTGTATGATGACGAAGCTGTGAACCAATTGCCAAGTTCGGCGAACGAATCAACAGCCACTCGATAAGAAAACCAGCTCATTATAATGTTCACGTCGTGTACTGGTTATGTGAACGCTGAAAAAATTGTTGGCCTAACCTCGTTCAAAAAGGGAACATATAAGTGCTGGTTCGGAAGCAACGATGAACTTGCTGAACGGAGCCAAGCACCACGGGACGCATTTTGTAATCAACAAATTTAAGGCCGGAGACCATTTTCACCGCAGCTCGTTCGGCGAGCTCAATGTTAGTAAGGTCTTCCTTGCGGCCCCAGTAAACAACTTGATTGGCATGTTCAAGAAGCGATGTGACATGCCCCATAGAGTATGCGAGTAAAATGGGAAAGAAGCGCCGAATCGTCCGTAGAACAGCCAATGCCTTTTCAGCAGCCTTTTACGGTGCAGTGAAAAGAACAAGACTGAAGAACGCCAAACAACCGTGGTATAACAATAATTTTTTGTTTCTCAACTTGTAGGGAGTACGCCAACCGGGTCATGGTCAGCCGTTACAACCTAAAGGTAGCGGACAACCCCATAGTAGGTGAGACAATTTTTTAGTGCTAAGTAATCGTAGGTTGCTGGAGAAACAAAAGTAAACAATGGGGCATGAGGCACGACTAGTTCAAGGATGGAGCCGAAGAACTTGAACCGAATCTGAGGAAAATCATTACTGGTCATGAGTAGCCTTCGGCGGTTGAGTAAATTCAAAGGGTTACGAAGACTGAAAGTAGCCACTCAGTATTCGCACATTGGAAATAATTTCTCGAAAGCTACGGAATTTTCAGTCCTTCCACTTCATAATGCCGAATGTCTATGTACAATGTCAATGTTCGTGCATTATTGCAAATTATATACTGTGGGGATGCAAAATGTGCGGAGATGCACTCCATCGAACAACTTTCGCTCGATACTTTCTGTTACCGGTTAAAATTCCGTAGTGCACATCCATTATCGGCATGAAGTCGTTTAAGTTTGTTGGTCAACAGCAGAGTATACCAAATAGGTCGCGAATTATGCTAGGAAGACCTTGACGTTGAGTGATTAGCCGCATGGAACCTATGTCGATCATACCCAACTGCTGAATGGACATAGCTGACGCACACGACTAACATACGACCAGGGGTCCATGATGTCTAATCAGCTCGCCGGAGCTCACCCATCCATCTGTACTGGAGAAGAGGTTCAAAATGGACTACATAAAATGTTGAGCCGTATTGAACGTTTTGATGGATATATATGTCCCTCCGGGGGGCACACTCCTCGTCGTAAGAAGCGTTCACTTGGCCGTTGACATACTGAAATGAGATGAAGATATGTTTAAGGCTACCGAAACATCACCATATGGAAGGCGGCCGACAAGCTTGTGTGAATACTTACCCCAAAATGTGAGCACTTCGGCGGCTATGATATCGCCGGTGCTTGTTCACACAGTGCCAACTTCAGCGGCTATTTCGCATGCCTACTTACTGCATACCTCAAGAAATAGAGACCTACATGAAATGCATGGAGTCTCATTAACAGGCGAATTCTTTGGAGCTGATGGGTAATATGGCGCTCGACAGCGTTGGTCGTAGTTGTCAGACATTTACTCACGGCTGTTGAGTAGTTCCTCCTTGGGCCCGAAAACAACGATACACAGAGGCTTTCGGGAGACACTATGCTGAGATTCTGTGCTTCGGGCCAGGTCAATATCACGGATTCACGGATTGATACACAGGATCGAGGCTATTGCCCAAGTTTCCCGGGTCGCTTTTGTTCTTGTCGGTCAGTGGCTGTCGTTCACCTGAAAGGCACAAGTGAAAAAAGGGTGTAGCACTGCTCTTTATGTTCTCAGCGCGGGGCAGTATGCTCGCCAGCGCGAGGATTCGCATAAATAAATGTCTAATAGTGCTTTAA